TTCAGTATTTTAGAAGATGGAAAGCATATGAGGGGACTGACAGCTGGGTTACTGCATTCAGTTATGCTTTATCCTCACACCAAAACAATGGGAAACCAGTAACCAGGGAACATTTTCTTTTGAAAAACCCTCAGTGAAATATATTGAGTCTGAGCCCCTTTCATTCTCCTGCAGAAGTCACAGTTTAACTTCTCTCTCCTGCTCCTGCTTTTCCCATATGTCATGCATGGAACAGGCACTAATCATTCAAAATCTATCTGATAAAAGAATTGATACTACCTTTATAGTGATTGGAAGCCAACCTCAAAAGCACTTCTTTCAAGCTGGATAAATACTCTTGCATTTTGAGTTTTTTCTAACATGGCTAATTAACCTCAGCCACCATATATATTCAGTCTCTGTCTAGCATTTCCACATTTTGCGTAAGTGTTAGGTGAGACCAGGGGGGAAAAAAAAAGTCCTCATTCTTAAAAGACTGTCTTTGCTATACTAAATCAGAAGAACACACTGAATATCCTAAATTCCTGTTAGAATTAGTAAAATTGATCATTCAAAATTCTTCAAAAATTCCTATAAACTGCTCTCTCAAAGGGATGAGTATCAAAGGGTTAGCAAAGCTTTCCTTAATCATTTACCTATTTTATAATAGTTTCCAAAAGTTAGTATAACTTACCAATTCCATGTATGCTTTGGGATTTAAAGATACAAGCTATTTATTTATGAATTTTAGCCACAGCAGAATCAACCAAAGTTGCTGAGTTAGTGTCTAAATTTGTTCAACATTCAACATGGCTGTGACTTGTTTCCTAAGTCATTTAAATCATACAGACCTATTTTTGTGCAGGGAATGGATGTTTTGCTGAGTTGAGTCTTTCAGGAAGGAAAAGAATAAAAATAAGTAGAGAACAGAGATGAGGGGAGATTTTTTAATATGGGGAAAATGTCAACCCAAGAATTATGAATTTCCCTCCAGGAGGATGAAAGAGAATCTAATGGAAAACCAAATGGTCAGTGCTAGTGAGAGAAGTTAATGATCAAGAACTCAGAAAAAACTAAAGAGAATATTCACATATATTTGAAAATGCCTGGACTTAATGAAGCAATATCCGAATGAGGAGTCTGAAGTCTTGAGATATCAAAACTGTCACAGTCGTATGCCAAGAGGTGGCAGAGCCATTTATAAGCATCTGTGCTTTGAAGTCACAGAGATAATTCCAGTGTTAGCTCCACTGCTTAGCTCTGTAACCTTGGACAATTAAAAAAATGTCTCTGAACCTCAGTTTCTTCATCCAGAAAATGGGGGCATCAACCTGTACCTGTCTCTATAGGACTGTAGTGAAAATAAACATAATATACTTTGTTGGTAAATGCTCAATAATTATTAGATAATGATTTTTTAAGAGGCTAACTGTAAAATTGGCTCTGGGAACACAGTGTATTGCATATTCCACAGTGACGACCCTGGAGCTCTATTTTTACAACAGCTTGGTACTTAAATTTTCAACTTCACCCTGTTGCACATATTTTTAGCTAGTATAATGATTCAGTTTACTCGTTATGTCTGTTGTCTACAAATATCTTTTTAAAAAAATCAATTATAGAGTGTGAAGAGCCCAAGTGGTAAAATAATTTGACAGATCTGGGGCCCAGTATTATTGTTATTTAGGTTTTGAGCAGGGATAAAATACAACTGAGATTGATTGGGTAGAATAAATACTTCATAGGAGCTCTATAAGTCTCATTATTTTTAGAAATAAGAACAATTGGCCGGGCGCGGTGGCTCAAGCCTGTAATCCCAACACTTTGGGAGGTCGAGACGGGTGGATCACAAGGTCAGAAGATCGAGACCATCCTGGCTAACACAGTGAAACCCCGTCTCTACTAAAAAAATACAAAAAAACTAGCCGGGCGAGGTGGCGGGCGCCTGTAGTCCCAGCTACTCGGGAGGCTGAGGCAGGAGAATG